TTTGCTAGCCGCTTTGGTTGTCCCCCGCCAGTCGCCTGGGCTCTGCCGCGCCAGCCTGGTTCTAGATCCGCATAAGTCCCAAATAAACACACAGGAGGCTATATTCATTATGAAGCTGTTGGCCTTGTTTGTCTTTTACTGGCTAGCTCTGCTTTAAGTAATTACCCCATAATTGTTAATCTAAGTATGTCTCTTACCGGAGAATAGTTCTAGGCTTCCTACCCCCAATGGCGTTACATGTTGACTCTCCTGTGTTTCTCCTACCCAGCATCCTCCTGGATTCCTAGCCCCACCTATCTAGATTCCTATTGGCCAGACAGTGCTTTATTAGCATAAGACTTCCACAACATCTCCTCTTTTCTGTTTAAACAAAAAGAAAGGTCTTAACTTTAACACAGTCAAATTGTATATAACAGAACAGTTATCAAATAAGAACATAGTTACAATATTTTAGCAAGATTTAAAGAAAATATCATCCATACCATCCTTGTGAGTTCAAAGTTCTATATGTAACTTATCTTTTATCATAACTAAGGAAAACTATAACTATCTGTCTTCAACTCCATCAAAGACCACAGAAGGATAATATATAAACACTAGGATTGACAGAGACATCTTACTGCCTGGACAGTCACCCGAAGTTCCTCTGTAACGTTGGGGCATCCATCTTCAGCCCATAGGCCACAATGTGTCTGGAACACTTCTCAGCAAAGCAGGAAATTTCAAACTGTCCATCTGCGTTGGCAGTCTGTCAGTCATTTTTCTTTGTCCTGCAGAAAGTCTTGTAGACTCTTCATCAAGCAGGAACACTGTAAGACTGAGTTCAGTAGTCACTTTCCTGTGGGTCCTGCATGTCCAGATGATACAACAACAGGCAAACAATCTAGGCAAGAGCAGTTTCTTGCCCAAATGGCTAATCTTGCCATGTTGAAAGCAAACTTTATAACGAGCTTCTTCGATGCCCATCTTCCTCTCAGACGTAATTGGTGCTGCCAGGAGCAGACATTTCTCATTGTCAAGACAAACCCTAAACCATTTTAAATGCCATGTTCTGAAGGTCTTTGAGAGGTTTGAAGACTGTCCATCTCAAATATATTTCTGTATATCTAGAAACCTAACTTATGTAACTAGAAATTCTACATCACCTGACACATTGTCAGGCCAAGGAACTGATAAAGTGCATCTTCTACAATCTGATCAGAGCTTCAGACAAGAGCTTCAATCAAAATCAGAAATCTAATCTGGAACTTCAGTCAAGCCTCTCCTGCAAAACAACCTATTTAAGACTCTTGTTATACTAACAATTTTTTTCCCACAGGTCCCCATGATTGTCATCGTCCCACTTCAGCAGGAAGTAACTTTGAGAATTCCACGTCCCCTCTCCCTACTATTGACATAAAAGGATAGTTTACCCCTGTTAGTGTAATTTGCAATTATTTACGGTTGGAACTGGAAGGAGGTGTTCAGACTTAGGCATCCCTTTCAGATAAGTTTAGAATTTAGGTGGAATGGATATGTTTAGTTTAGGATAAGTAGATTATAACTTCATTATCACCCTCTATGTATATATGTTGTATATGTTTGAGTTTGTATCAAATTTAAATCTTCTATTTAGACTAAAAGGGGAATTGTAGGAGTGAACCCCACAAAGCTACCCGCCCAACAGGGCGGGGTCAAGGTAGAGATAAAAGGTAGTGAAAGGAAAAGGGGCCTCCTCTTTTTTCTCCTGGAAGCCAGCCAAGCTTCTAACTCCTGGTATGTGCGACTCTCTCTCTCCCTGATAAATAAATATATTGTTTTTCCCTATATAGCCTCGATTATCATTATAGGTATGAGTGACTAGTGAGTTGGAGACAGAAGCCTGGGACAACAGTAAATATACTATGTTGCACAGATCAAACTCTCACAGCAAAGAATTATGCAGCGCCAAACTGTCATGTCTGACACAGGTGAGAACAAATGCCTTAGATCAAAGCTGAAAGATGGGGTGCTTCTGACAGGAGAAGCAAAGAGCTGACCCAAGAGAGGAATCTCTTTCAGAACATTCAGCAATGTACCAACACTAGAATATGGACATTAAGAAAGAAAGGGTGTTTTGGACTTTGAAGGATGTTACCACTGCCTTTAGTATTTGAGTTACCTGTAGAGAGGCTAGGTCTTCAACTTTGGCTAGGCAAAAGATTCACAGAAATAACTATCTTTTAAATAAAATGGTTGATTGATGGGTTCAGATGGAATTCTGAGCTCGCTCCTGAATACAGTTGAGAAGTCCAGCTAAGACCTTGCTGAGAACCTGAACATGGTAGCATTCACAAGGAATAAAATCAGCTATTTCCTTTTCAAATGTGTCTCATACCAGATTAGGCCTAGGTTGTAGCTAGGAAAACAGCAGGCCCTTGTAAATGTTTGCTTGCTACTCCCCTTCATTCTGCTAAACTATGCCCCAATTAAAAAAAACTATATGTTTAGAGTAGAATACTACTAATAAACAAGATTGCCTGCAAGGTGATATACTTTAATAATCTAAATGATAAACAGAATGTAGAATTGTAGAGTTAAATTCACGTACAGTTTTACAGAGAAGAGACAAATGTAAACACCATAGGGGAAGGTAAAAGCTAGGCAATGTGTAAGAATGTACCTTCATAAATACTCAGCCAATGAGGAAAGGCAGGCCTTCCTTGAATGGTTTAAAATATGTTCTCTGCTCTCTGTTGACATACCTGAATTTCTGGGTTGATTCTTGCCTTTCTAGAATCATAGAATGAACTGCTTAGCTTTACTTATATAAGTCTCCAGTCCTCTTTTTTTTTTAGAAAATGAGAGTCTTTGTTTCTCACATATGAGGAATCTCTATATTATGTCTGTGGAATTGTGACCAAGGGTGGTAGGAATTAAATGGAAGGTGTTTCTTTAACATTACAGTGAGCAGTGTGAAGTGTTCCCCAGAAGAAGATTCGTATCAGACCACAGAATGCACAGTATGAGTCCAGGGACAGAGAGATTTAACAGTCAACTGTGGTTGTTGATTTCAGCCCTCAAAACAATACTACAACCTGGGTAGGATGGCCCTTTCAGTTTTGTTTTGGGTTTTATTGTTATGGGGTAGCAGTCAGAATGACCCATAGGCTGATTGAACAGGAATAAGAAGTTCCTGAGACATGGTACTTCTGGTTTCAAAGCAGGGAGCTAGGAATAAGCTGATCATTAGCACATTAGAGTGCAGTGCAAAGTTGGCCAAATTCACATTGTTTTGATGCAGAAGAGTCACAACTCCTTATGTGCTCCAAACAATGTGCCATGGTATATGTGGAGATCTTACAACAGCAAGCATCAGGACAGTCTATTCTCACCTTCCACTACATGGGTCTTGGAGATGGAACTCGGGTTGCCAGACTTGGCTGTAAGTGCCTTTACCTAGGAAACCACCTCAGCAGTCCCAGGTCAATATTTCTTCAATGATGTACCAGGAGTGTCTCCTTTTGACACACTAACTAATGGGACCACCCACAGCAATATACACAAAGGCAAGGAAATGCCAGAGTCACATTTGAGTTTGTGCAGAGATGAGAGGGAAATGATGGGATGTTGCATCTTGGAATAATCAATATTCAAGTGTTCCAAAGGCGGGCATTCACTATTAACATTTGAAGTGTTCTTTTATTTTTCTTATGCTCTCTGGCATCAGTACACCCCCATGGTTTTGTTTACAGGCCCAGTGCAAAGTAGTGCTTGTCCTGACCAGAAAATTTTCTGTACCTTAAGTTTGAGATGAAAACTCTGCATGAAGGACTTATAAACATGTTATAAACATGTATCTGCTCAGATATTGAGATCATCTTATGGCAGAAGCCCTCATTTCCTACAAGAAGCAATGACGGTTTTGGTATGGAACAGGTTGGACTGTATGGCTGGGATGCAGTGGTCAAGGCTGAGGTCTTGAGAGCAATACTAAGGTGATAATTCAATGGGTCACTGTAGGATCTCATCATTCCACTTGCCATGAATTCATGTTCACCTTTTTTACTAGGCTAGCGAATGCATGAACCATAACCGATGATATTAACTCTACTTGAACACTTATGAGACAGTCAAACTCATAGCCCCACCCAATTTAATGAACCAGAGTCTTCATGCCAGTTCCCAGAAATGTGTGTCCTTAGAAGGATTTAAGGTGATTACTATTGGGTTAAAGATTGATGATCTTTGCAGGTCAGAGATAAAGCTGTGGTGTTTAAACAGGTACTAATATATTATATAGTTTGTCTGCATTACACAGCTCAGTCACCATAGCATGAAAGCCTCCCCATGAAAGAGAGAAAATAGAATACTCTGGAGGAACCTCACTGATGGGCAAAGGCATTTCAACATCATATAATTTCCAGTTGTCATGAAATAGTATTTTGAAGTGTATTTGTCAAATTCTAAAAATATTCTAACCATTTAATATCTAACAGCACACTCAGATTGTGCAAATCAGGTCTTTAGTCAAAGAAATTCTAACTTGGACCCATTGGGATAAAAGCTCAGTGGGTAAGGACACTTGCCATCAAATGTAGTCATTTGAGTACAGTCTCCACTCTCATGGTAGAAATAGAGAGATTATTGCCCTCCTGCCATCTTCATTTGTGATATGGTAGCAGCCCAAATACTCCCACTTATCTCTGTGTATGTATCTCTCTCTTTCCCTCCCTCCCTCACACATACCACATACAAAAGTGATAGCATAATAAATATAATAAATAAAAAGTATAACTATAGCTTAAAAATCCTAATTTGAAGAATCAAGACTGTGTTAATCTTAGTTATTATTATGTCTATTATTGTGATAAAACACAATGTACAAAAGCTACATTGCAAGGAAAGTATTTATTGCATCTTGCAAATTTCAGGATCTTCCCAAGGAAGTTAAGACAGGAACTTCAGGAAAGAACCTGAAGGAAGAAAAGGATGGAGAGGCTGTGGAAGAATTATCAGTTTGATTTCTTTTTTTTTTTATACAGGGGAAAGTGGGAACACAATCCCTCACTACCACACATAATGCAGCTGAGTTCCGGAATTTGGGGGAATCACAGGGATCAGCTCATCCAGAGTGCAATGGATAAGACTCGCCCTGGGAAAAACACCTTTGTGATCATGGTATCTTCCCTGACAGGTAAGTATCAGCTTGATTTCTTCTAGCACTTTGTACCACCTGCCCAGGTGTGGCACCACAGACTTCAATTTGGGCCATCTATATTAGCCATTCAGCAAGAAAATACCACCACAGTCTTGCCTGCAAACCAATATTATGAAAGCTTTTTCAAGTAAGATATCCTCTTCACATATATGTCTAGGTTTATGCCAATTTGACAAAAAGCAACCAACACTGGTATGAATAATTATGGAATCTTTTTTCTCTATAAATTTAAGAAAAATGTTTATAAAATTATGAAATGGAATTTGCTTCAAAGCAAATAGGTTGATGCAGGTGATAGAATTTGACTGTAATATGATAATTTCTAGAAACTGCAAAATAGGCATACATTCAGATTTTATTTTCTATTTTTTTTAATTTATGGCTCTCCTTAAAACTAATTTCATCTGAACTACTTTTCTAGCTTGCTTTTCTGATTCTGTAATAAAGCACACTGGACAAAAGCAACCTGAGGAGGATGTAGTTAATTGTTTTTACACTTCCAAGCTATAGCCCATCACTTAAGAATGTCAGGGCTGGGACCAAATATATACAAGGAGAACAATGTTTATTCTCTCACTCATTGCTTTATGTTCAGCCAGATTTCTCATATAGCCCATTTCCACTAGCCTAAGGTTGGTACCACCCAAACTGGACTATCCCATCTAACATCAATCATCAAGGCAGATGGAAATAGGCCAATGTGATCTGTAGAATTCTTCAGTTGTGGTTTCCCCTTACAAGATAACTCTAGTTCACATTGAGAATAAAAATGAACTAACACATATATGAAAACAGAGGAAGATGGAGATATGTTGACAAGGTCCTACACCTACACTTCCTTGGTGATGTCATACATGCTGAGTTACATGCCATAAGGTGATTGTGTTACTATTATAGGAGTAGAATACATATCATAGATTGTGTTTATACATAGGAGTCTATTTGATATATATTATTTAAGCCTGCATAGCCTGCTTCTGAAGAAAAGAGTTTAGAGTTATATCACAGGAGGTTAGGTAAGCTAAGTAATGTGTAAATGCCATACCATAACATACAGTTCCTTCTGCAATGTGATCATACGGCATCTTATCTAAAATTCAATACCCTATTTCCTTTTCTAATACATGCCTTTCATTTAGTAAAATGATTAAGTACACAGAATTTAAAGTTATGAAATCATCCTGCAGTCAAAGTCTCACTCAGAGTGTGGCTATGTGACATTAGAAAAAAATACCTCTTCCTTTCTAAACATTAGGAGTCTAATCTACAAAAAGTAAGTATCAGAGAAATTCTGACCTCATTGGCTGCCACACAGAGTGATACAGTACCTCAAAAGTATGGCATTGAACAAAAGCTCAGTAAAACTATGTAATCACCAAAAGCTGGTGAAGAATTATGATTAGCCATGAGGATAGATTCATTTATTAAGTTATTGCCAAGGATCAGAATCAATGCTAAATGCCTTTGATGTACAGATCCATCTTTATCGTACCTTTATGGATCAGAGCCTTAAGTGTCAGGTAGAGAAAGGACACTCTGCATCTTCGGCTACATAGTTCAAAAGCAGATGATGTCATTCTTGGGTAGAGTTTGCTTTGTACTGAGGTTGACTAAAGTTGTCACACTGTACCTCAAAAGAGAGCCACTGACTCAATTCAGCATAGCATGAAGCTTTTTAGTCTTCAGTTTGAATTGATATAAGGAGACACCCTTGAGCATAAAGGAATAGCATGAGTTAAATATTAAGCCTCAAACTAATGGCCATATTGCACTGAAAATTAAAGCAAAGGAAATAACAGCATTATAGTGGCCAATTCCTGTTTTCCAGAATGTTAAAATGAATGCTAGTAGGTAGAGGAACAATCTTAGGTCTCTGAGTTCACCTATCCCTTCAACAATATGCACTTTTTCTGTAACTGTCAGTCAAAGAGAAACCAGATTCGTTTTTGTGTCTTTCCCACGCATTATGTCATGTCAGTGTCAATGTGTGAATGTTGCCCTTGGTGTACTTTGTTATATTTCGAAGTTAGGGTATCAGTAACACAGTAGATATTTCATTGCATAGGAGAGGAAAAATGATTGCCATGGAATAAGATTTGGCTAAATCCAAATCTTTTTTTTGTAATTAAACAAATAAATTACTTCTTGACTGTACTTAAGATTCCTGTAATTTACAATTGGAATTCTTCCTATCATGATTTAGATTCTTTCTGATTCTTAGATTTTGGCAATGGTTCATAACTTTTTCAAAAGAACAATTTAAGATCTAACGATAACTTTCAATTTTATCCCCATGAGGGCCAATTTCACCCATGCATACACAGCACACAAATAAACAGTATTGTATATTCATGAGGTTGCAAATTTTTAATGAGAGACCATGATTTGTAGATTAAAAACAGTGTAAACCTGGACAAATTCTATGTCTGGAGAATGTTACAAGCCTTTGGGGCAATTTGCTACTGTCATTTTTCCTAAAAGAACATGTTACTGTCTTCCAAGTATTTGGGCTTATATACTAGAACTGATGGTGTTATCTGCCAGGGTTTGGAGAATTTCTTTTAGCAGTAAACAATGAATGGTTAATTCATACACTCATAACTGGCTCAAGAACTGATGATAAGTGACTGTTGATTGCTCAGACATAAATAGAACATCTAAGACCAACAAAACACCATGATGTGACTGTAGCAATTACATACACACCGTGGCTGTGGATACCTACATAAGACCTATAATGCCACTCCCTGCAAAAGGACATCCAATTGGGAGGGAAAGAGGGGAACTTACTATAGTTGGGATGAAGAACAGAACAATATGTCAAAAAGTTGAAGTAACAGGGGAGCCTGTGATTGCAATACATTTTGCATGTGTATGAGTTGGTTCAAAATAATAAAAAAAAATAAGAACTGGTGGATTCAAAGCTCTACAAAATAAATTTATTTTAATGGTTAGATCAAATGTTTATTTAATTACTTATTTTAAAACAACTTTAGGGAGGTCACAATTCGAATATTATATAATTGCTGATTCAAAGTAAAATCCAATGGGTATATTCACAGGTTGTGGAATCTTCACAATTGGCTTTAGAACATTAGAGTTCACATAAATACAAATTCCTAATCACTCATGGCCATCTACTCTTTTATCCCCACTTCATTCATGCCCACTAACCCACAAATCTTTCAACTTAACTCTAGGGACAAAGGCAATCATTTGTCTATGTTTTCTGTTTACATGTTTGTGTATTCTGAAAAAAATTGTATATTCTTCCTATGTAAATGTAGTTAATTTTTGATTCTACTATATTGATTTGCTTAAAATATATTTTTCTGTTGTGTGCTTTAGAACTAGAGGGTGGTATGATGAGAGCTCCTATTCCAATTCACTGAACCACCTCCCTCTGTGTAGGACAACAGAGCAAAATGCTTGGCAAGCAACTGCTCTCCCAGCCATAGTGGTGTTGGTTTGTGAGGGAAAGAGAAAGAAATGGGTATTCCAGGCATAGCAAGATATATGTCTCCTGCCTGCCTTGCTGGATTTCACTTATTGAATTAGGACAAATTGGGACTTTCATAAACTGTGATATAAATCATTATCTTGGGTTAGCAGATGCAGTCACACCAGGATAGAGCACTGTTAATAACTCTGCTGGATTAGGACTGATTGGAACAATTTGAAACTTGTTTCTCTCAGCTTGATCAGTCTCATTGTAACCACAGCAATTATCCCATTTCACTTTCAATGGCTCAGCACAGACATGTTGCTTTATATCCATCCTTCTTAATGAAGCCAGCTCAGACTTTTGTTCATTTGTCAAAGCACTGTCTTACACAAATAATAAATAACTCCACCCCTGGGGATTTCAGGTAGATATTTGCAAGGCTGAGATCTCCCATTGGCTAGACAAAAGCAATTATTTATTATAGTTAGCTCATGGATTTATCTATTTGTTTTAATTTTTTGTATGTGAGCAGCTGTGTCTTCTTAGGTAATAGGAATGCATTAAGCTGTGAGATGAGACAGAGTTGGGTTAAAATCCACAGTTTTGCACCTGTTTCATTTCTTTCACAGTAGCTCATGTATATCTAGGATTTTCATGGCAAGGATTGCCACAGAATTGCAAAGGACTTTATGAGAGGGAACTTTGTTTTCACTGAGAATATAGGATGATATCATTCCTGGAGAGGCAATAAGAATAAATGGAAAGAATATATATTGATGGACTGTGATCATATTTCAGTGTGTAAATTAAAAATGCAGAAATAGAGACAGACAGACCCTACAGGTTCACTGGATGTATTTAGCTGAATCAATGAACACAATATTTAAAGAGAGATTCTGTCTCAAAATTAAGGTGGGTGAAGATAAAGGATGATATCTGATGTGAGTCTCTTGAGTTTCCACAACACACAGAGGTAGAAGCCTGTTGCAGTTTGAAAGAAAATGGCCCCAAAATTTAGTTGCAGTATTAGGAGCTGTGTGACCTTGTTGGATTATGTGTGGCATTGTAGGAGGAAGTGTGTCATTTTGGGGTGGACTTTTATTTCCCCAGGCTCAAACTACTCCCAGTGTCATAGTTCACTTCTTGTTGCCTTTTGAACAAGATATAGTTAGAACCATGTCTGCCTGTGTGTCACAGTATTCTCAGCTGCCAAGCTCTTCACTGTGATAATGGACTGAACCTGTGAAACTGTAATTTTCCACCTGAATTACACATTTTCCTTTGTAAGAGGTGCTGTGATCATGGTGTATCTTCACAGCATTAGAAATCCTAAAACAGAAGTTGGCACCAGGAGTGGAGTATTGCTGTGACAAGATGGATCATGTTCTTATTTGGAGAAATATGGACTTTGGGAGTCTGGATTAGAAAGGCAATAGAAATCTCTAAGTGTTGCTTAGATAGTCTTAATAGTAGGAACATGGAAGAGAGTAGTGAAAAGAGATGTTTGAAGTGTGGGGTGCTCGATCAAGAAATTGAAGA